GGATTCGATTACGAACTGTACCTGCTTGGTAGTTTCAACCCATCGCAAAAGTGTCACAAAAAAGGTTTTCCAAAATATGGCGAAAAGCAGAAACTTAAATGAAATCGGCGAGTAGGTACCTGTATACAAACACGGCGATGAGAAATTGAGTTGGAACAATTGGAAATATTTGGAATATCCTGACGGCTAGTGGTTAATCCATCCCCAAACAAAAAGGAATCCAGAGCCGTTCAACGATAGGCCCCGCTGCTGGAAAAGTTCCCATGTGTTCACAACTATTTTCAATATATATATATATATTTCATATTTCTTGAGCTTTCCAAAAAAATATCAAAATATAAGGTATATTAAATCACTATCAATAAGTCATGTTAACGTTTCATGTTCAAAGAAACAATAGGGCCAATAGAATATATAAATCACCATCAAAATAGCAGGTTGGCCGGACTCGCGCCTCGAGAGTCCGGCTCGCCGCTTCAACTGCTCCAGGGTGGTGGGAACAAAACCTCGGTGGTGGGAACAAAACCTCGGTTTTTGCCGGGATCGTTCTTGGAAAACAGTAAGTTATGATGACAGGTATCAATTTCAACTCATCAGTCTCGTAAAAACGAATATAAAATTATATTCTCATATATATATATACACATAATATGATAAATGTAAATATATATGTATATAATTATATGTATATATATATAATTATATGTATATATATAATTATATGGATATATATAATTATTTATATAGATAATTATTATATATATATATTGAAAATCCATATATATGTTGCGCCTCCTCTGTCTTGATGCGCGATCAATCTGGAGTGGGCCTCAGTATGATGAAAGGTGTTTGGAATCCAATAAGAACTTGCCATTTCTTGTTTAAACCATGCATCTTTGAGAAGGTATCCCTGTTGCTTGAAGCATACACAGGCTTGGCGGGAAAAATCATAATAATTTGGTGTTTTTTTAAGGAAAATAATATTAATTATAATATTGAAAATGTATTTCTTATAAATTAATATTATTTTAAGATATTTTTATTGGGTTGATATTTCTAGCTAGATTTTTTTGGGTTCCTAATTTATAGAATTTATATGTTTTGATTTGAAAATTACAAATTCCATTCTGTTCCGATGAATTCGTACAGGGATAAATAAATTATATATATATATTAAAATAAATTTATTATTATTATAAATAATATAAATAACTTAAAAATATTAATTTTAAATTACTAAATTTTATAAAAAATATTTTAATTTTTTAAAATTTTAAAAATTATAATAATATATTTAATATATTTTAATATAATTTAAAATTTGTTTACGAAGGAATTATTTTTTT